CGCCTTTTCATCCCCCAGCACCCCCAAGCCCCTCTCGGCAGGGCTGCTCTCGATCCTTTCTTCCCCCAGCCTGTACTGATACCGAGGGTTACCCCGATAAGGGGTAGCATTTCCTTCAGCTTTCTTTTCCACCTAAGTTAGTAAAAAGAGCGTTTTGCTCAGAGCGGCGATGGGACACAAAGGGCTTTCCTGAAAAATTATTCATTGTAGAAAACACCAAGGTCACAACAATTCAAGTAAATTAAACCATACAAGGACTATGTGTCATCTGTGTTATCCCCTCTGTCTTCCCCACTGCTATACCCCTACAACAGTAGCAATTCTCATAAACAATTTTGCCCTGGAGCAACTACTATCCTGCACAATTTGGGAGTTAGCCTGTGGCAGGTCTACTGGCGAAAGGCAGTTTTTCATCCAGCCACCCTCCTCTAAGGCCTGAAAGTTTCGTCAGGTAGATGTGGCCAGGCCATGCCAGTTCATTCCCATGTCAGCGAATGGCTGCATCCGTACCAGTAGAGAACAGCACGTGACTCCAAACAGGACTGCTCTGTGTGAGGGCATCACCCTCAACGTGAGACCTCAGAAAACGTGTGGCACCTACAAAACCATTCTTCCAACTGGTAAATTACTCTCTGTTACGTACAGCATCTGACAGGCGGATGTTGGTCATCCAGCAGCACCTTTCGGGCCATTATCTGTGGTGTTCTGAACATCCTGAAGAAACGTACTTTAGTTGGTATACATTTGTGTTCCTCTGCTGATCAGGGACCAAGCTAACAGATAAGCTCTGAGCAGATCTGTAGTAACTCTGTTCATTTAATACAGGAGTGAACTGCTGAATCCAGTGCAACCCATGTTTTGGTTCATTTTTCTTTCAAGCCAGTGATGTCTTCTATTGCATAACGTTTCTGCAAGGTACAGTTAATACCTCCTGCTGTCGTTTAAATTAGCTACTTCCTTACAGATAAAAATCTCACCCATGTCAGTAACCACTTTTAAAAGGTAGAGCCAATTAGTTTTTGGACTAACAATGCTTAGAAGAGACTTACAAGCTGTAAGCCATTTTTAAATTAAGTTTGGATTGTGGGGAGTGGTGGTGAGGCTCCAAGGGTGTAGCAACCAGGAAATGAAATAAACCCAGTCCAGTTTTACAAAAATGTATTTTCTAACAATATTTTAGTGCCGACAGAAATGACATTAACAATGTGGTTTTACACACTGAGATTTTAAGTCTATGCACTACCAAACTTAAAACTAAATTTAATCCTTGCCTACACTAACTGCTCTTTAAAAAAATAAACAAATGCCCCAATTTGGCAATGGTTGGCAAACTTGGGTAAACCAAATGCAGCAGGACGTAACGAATCTCGTAACAATACTACATAGTTCTAGCGTTACGTAAAAAGCTATCTGCAGTTACGTTTTCAGCCTGAACATTTCTCCAGCCTGGCTCACACGTCTGCACCTAGTACTAGTGCAGCACTGGGGGCAGAAGGAAAGCATAGCTGGGGCACCTGTACCTTCTGCTCCTAAGTCTGAACTTATACTTACTTAGCTTAAAAAAAAAAAAAAGAGCTGAAAGAAGCTGTTGTTTCTTTCTGAGTTTCTCTCACTGGCTTCAGTAAATCCCGCTTGAATGAAATGACTTCCAGCAAAAGAGACCAGAAAGGCCAAAATCCTCAGGATACAAGCGTGGGCCTCCCACACACCTCCACCGCTCATGTAACTGCTCCGCCAGGGCTCTTGCAACCGGCAGCCCACGGCCAAGCCCGGCACACGGCGCACAGCCC